CAGCAATGTGCCGATGCGGAGCGGGGTCGCGAGGCGGCAGAGGCAGCCCTACAGCGTGTGGAGGCCGAGATGAAGCAGACGCACGCCAAGCTGCAGGAGGAGCTCGAGGCGGCGCTTCTCGAGGCGAACGAACGCATTGCAGAGCACGATGAGCTGCTTCAGCAGAAGCTTGAGGAACAGGGGGAATATTATGAGAAATTACTTGAGGAAAAGTCGCGGTTGGAGCCCGTGCCGGCGGATGGTGCTGAGTTGGGTGATGCGCTGCATTGGAAGGCGGAGAGCGACGGGCTTATGGAGGAGGCGCAGCCTGCTGAGCAGCCACGTCGTGCAGCTGCGGCGTCCAGGAACCCCTTCGCCAGCATGAGTGTGCCGTCTCAGCAGCCAGACTCCCTCGTTGACCAGGGCGGCGATGACGATGATGTGTTTGGTTCTGGCGCGTTGCAGCACCCCACGGTGGCAGGCGATGTCGTGTCTGGGGAGCGACCGGCTGAGCTGAAGGCCCTTGTGGCCGAGCTGCGGGGACGGCTTGCGGAGATGGAGGCCGGGCTCTCGAGTGCCACTCTGGCCCGCGATGGCGCGATGGACGAGGTAAAGCGCCTGGCGCAGCAATGTGCCGATGCGGAGCGGGGTCGCGAGGCGGCAGAGGCAGCCCTACAGCGTGTGGAGGCCGAGATGAAGCAGACGCACGCCAAGCTGCAGGAGGAGCTCGAGGCGGCGCTTCTCGAGGCGAACGAACGCATTGCAGAGCACGATGAGCTGCTTCAGCAGAAGCTTGAGGAACAGGGGGAATATTATGAGAAATTACTTGAGGAAAAGTCGCGGTTGGAGCCCGTGCCGGCGGATGGTGCTGAGTTGGGTGATGCGCTGCATTGGAAGGCGGAGAGCGACGGGCTTATGGAGGAGGCGCAGCCTGCTGAGCAGCCACGTCGTGCAGCTGCGGCGTCCAGGAACCCCTTCGCCAGCATGAGTGTGCCGTCTCAGCAGCCAGACTCCCTCGTTGACCAGGGCGGCGATGACGATGATGTGTTTGGTTCTGGCGC